GGGGGGGGGGGGGGGGGGGTTTGCATACATTTTAAGTCGAATAAATTGTTTTATTGGATCCTATGTTTTTTGACCGGCTAAATCCGGATGTCGAGGGCTTCGGGTCGAACTCTGGTCAGGTTTCTCCTTATTAACAATTTATTAATAAACGATTGAAAATTTAACTTTTTGACTGGAATAAGTTTTTTCTATAAAATATTCGTGATTTTAGGGGGGTTAATCCTGAATTTTTTTTCGTATTTGCATCCATTTCATCATTTGTAAACAAATGATTGTTGAACATATAGAGCTGCGGGACACCCCCAATTTTCAACCATGGCTCTAAAAAAATGTGACCGCCATTACGAGCCGAGCAACGCGACAACACCGCACAACAGATGATCGCGATCGCTAAATTCGATGACGATAATTCAGTGCTGCAACCATATGGTCACGTATAATACACCATATAAATATTCATCTTACTGTTACAACCCCACTACTAGCCGAAGCGTGCGATGTTGCCCGATCAACATTCGACTGTTACCACTGCAGTCACAAGTCCTCTATTATCTACACTGAGAGAAAAACGACAAAGTTCTCAATCAAGTCTTACTTATGCCAAGAAAATAGTTTTTCGAAAATTGTCAAAAAAGGATTTTTTTGTTCCAAATATGCAGAGAGTGTGCCGGAATGAAAAATTTTTGTCGCAAAAATAGATTTAGTAGTTGAAAAAAATTGCATTTTCTGTACCCGCAAGAAATGTCATTTCTAGCACTATTCCTTCGTTATTGAATACTCCCATACGTATTTTGCTCCCGAGAAATCTTTGTTTTATGCGAAACAAGGGATAGTAGTTTTTCGTTTCGGCTGTCTAATAATCACAGACAACAAATGAACCCTTAAATGAAACAATAATGATGATATGATTGCAATCTTGTAACTTAGAGGTAAAATATTTGTTGATAAATTTTCCTCTATATAAAATATTTTCATTCTACAAAGGCACCGTTTTTTTGTGAATTATCCGCCTCTTGAGCCAAATATTTCATTGCTGATGAAATCAGAACAATTATTCAGGTTTGAGACTTCCTAATTCGAACCAAACAAATTTTCTTTTATTGGTCACCACAGTCAATTTAATTATAATAAAGTTCCAATATTTACACTGTTTGATTAATGGAGAAGCTCAAGAATTTAAACGCGGGTCACAAATTAGTAGAGCAGTTCACGAAAGTTAATAGAGCGGAGCAATAATACGCGGAACTAGTACAATAAGAAAATTCACAGAAAGCACTATACACAGTACGAAGGCCAATATGCAAATGAGACCGATTACAGGACCGCAAGGTGGCAGGTGTCGATCATCGAAGGTCCGAACGGGCTCCAATTTAAATGGGGGGCCACTGGTCATCTTAGGCTATTACGCAGGTCAGTAGAGCGTGTATCGATTGTGCTTGTGTCGCGGGAGATTTTCAACTCTGACCGATATTCGGTGGAAAACCGAACACTCAGTATATGAAGATTTTCTTCAATTATTGTTTTTGAAACCGTCAAAGTACGCCATAACACTTCTAATTTGATGAGAAAAATAATTTATAACATGAATGATTGATTTTTTTAGTCAATTTTTTTTTCAACTGACACGTAGGAAAAAATCCTCTAGGATTTTCTATAAGATTTCCTACGTGACTTCCTGTCAAATGCAATACGGGGTATCTTATCGGATTTCCTATACGACTTCCCGTAGAATTTGCTACTGGATTCTGATTTGGAGATTATGTGGATTACTATGGAGGTCATATGAGGGCATATGGGGTTATATGGGAGTTATATGGGGTCGTATAAGGGTCATAAGATGGTCATTTTGGGGTTATATGGAGGTCATATAAGGGTTATAAGAGGGTCATTTCGGAGTTATATGGGGGTCATATAAGGAATGATATGGAGCTTATACGGCGGTCATATAAGGGTGTGACGGATTAAAATTCGCCACTTAAGAATTAAAGAATAGAATTGAGAATATTATTGTAAGGGACAGGATCGATGACTCGTACACACCAGAATAAGGATAGGAAAAATTTAAGGAAAACAACAGGGACGATACGACACGGGGAATCTAGGTAAAGAACGCAGGCGAGGGACTCCACACAAACAAGCCCCGCATCAGCATAACCGCAGTTATAAGACGGCGACGATGCGTGAGGCAGGAAGGAAGGTGGATCAGGCATCGATCTGAGAGGAAGGGAATCAGTGCTTACGTCCGACTGACAATCCACGTCCCACACATTGGTGATACTGAGAAATACAGGAAGCCCTGCAATCAACGACTCAAGGACTCAAGGACTCAATTCAGGGGTACCTGGGAAAAGTAAAGTGTCTTAGTATTACGGGGTAAAGCACGAATCCCCTCCCTTATCCTAAGCCTGCTACGAGGGAAAATGACAGGAAGGGAAAATGATAGGAAGGAAAAAGGAGAGCAGTCAAGTGCTTGGGCCGCACCTGCCCCGAGCGTAAAGCCCCACTATCCTTGACCGGTGCATGCCCTATGGCCTGAGTCAGTAAGAATATGGTCAGGAGGCTAATCCTACTATCGCCCTAGGAAATACCCAAGTGTACCAAGTCGCGCACTAGCACGAGGTCGAAAGCTAGTGATAATTCGCGAGTGAGAATTAAGTGAATTTGCAACGAGAGGAGATAAATCAGAAGTCCTGTGACCGAAATCCATCCGAGTCCAGGGCGCAATAAACGAGTGAGTGGAAGTCATGCGTGTCTCGTGATGCCGCAAGACAAGACAAGGCAAGAGTAGCCTATCCTCTTGTCTTGTCTCGCCATGTGGCGCAAAATCTCTCGTCTCGTCTTGTATCGGCCTAGGAGAGAAAATCTCTGTCTTGTCTTGAATTCTCAGGTCAAGAGAACAAGACTCTCGTCCTCTCGTTTCTTTTGAATTTTTCTCCAGAATAGAAATACATGAGCGAGCTATCATGTGATTTTTCGAATCAACAAGTTATGAAAAAAAAGGCGCATAATTCTGAACGCGAAACTCGGAGTTTATCATCAGAATAAATTATTCATGAATATTATTGAATTATTATTAAAAATTATTATTATCGACTCATCATTAAATTATTTCATTGGAAACATTTATCAATTCTCTTCTGGTTTCCTTTTCAAGATTAACATTCCAGTTTGAAAAATATTAGAGTTCGGAGTTTGGAGTCAACAATTTGGCCTCTTTTTCATTGGCTCTCCGAATTCCCCATTCGGAGCATTTTTTTGCGGAAAAACTTGCAATAAATTCTTCTATTGGTGACCGTAATGGAAAATTTTGTACTTTTCCCCATACGTGGACTTATAAATCAACTGGTTAATCTCCACGGTCTACGTATCAATTTTTTGCATCCTCCTTTTACCTTTATTGCACCTTCCCTATAATGTTTCACAACCAGGATACCTGGGTTGTTGCAACATGTGTCGTTCATATTGCCAGCACCTCCGCCAATGTCGATACCTCCTGAATATCCCTCCCCCGCAACCCCTTGCTTTCAGTTTCTAATTTTTTTTTTTCGCATAGTTTCATACTATTTTCACGATTTTGGGAAGGATCGAAGAACTTTGCTCTCCGTTTTCCTCTCATTCCGAGTTAAACGTGGTCTAGAACACATCGCGAATTCCCAATCAGTCATAGAGTGTCGTTGAGTGGGTGTTACTCAAGTGAATTGAATATACACGCGACATTTAATTCCAATTGTGTAGAGGAAATTTTTCAATTGAATTGTGATCTCAAATTCAGACGATGAAGCGGAAGAATAGATACGATACGGCACATGATTCACGAGCCGCCAAAAAATCTCACACTGATTTTAAGGAACAGTTGACGTCTTCGATTGTATCGGCATCCGTTAGAATCGAATCCATCAGTGATCATTCTCTTGTGAGTGCACAGAATGCCGGGAAAATTGTCCGTAGTGCAAGTATTGGTGAAAAGTGGAAACCTTATTTTCAAGTGGAATTTCTAAACAATATGAAATTTGGGGAATGTAAACTTTGCAAAGACAATGATATCTCAGCGAAAATCAAAATGTTGAATAGTAATACATCTGGACTGAAATCGCATCTGAATAAAAAACATAATGATGAGAGGAAGTGATTATGAATGTTTGACAGAGGTAAATATATATATATTTTTTTCATGACGAATATCAAAATCAGAGTGGGAGAAATGGGCATTTACAAAACCTCGAGTCATTGTTACAATCTCGCGCTTTCAATTTGAAAAAAAGCAGGAACTTCATTAAAATGGAGTCAAGAATAAGAATTAGAGTCTGAGGTATTGGTTTTTCTTCCAGATCGTATGAGCGTACGTTCCACTTGGATTTGGTGGAATGGGTGTCCATCAACTATCTCCTTTTAAACTTCTTTGATGACGAGCCGACTGAAAAATTTCTGGCGTGGCAAAAGTCCGCATTATATGAGGTAACTTAATTTTTACAGATTTTTTTGGAACTTAAAATTATATTTGAAATAAAAATATATTCGCGGTCTTTTCTGGTTTCGAAAGGATCGAACATAAGGTTTCAGAACACGGAACGACAAGTCTATGTAAGTTACATAACTTTTCAGAATAGCAGAGTTTACGATGGCAACTGATAAACAGCACATTCGGCACTGCATTTTAGACGAATTCCAACAAGGAAAAAATGCTTCTGAAGCACGGAAATCAATGTGTAGTGTTTTTGGTATCGACGTTGTATTTTATGAAACGTGTATTTATTGGTACAAACGTTTTAGAAGTGGTGATTTCGATCTGAGTGACCAGCCGCGTCCTGGACAGCCTCGACAGTATACAGATGCGGA